ATGTTTCCAGAATATAGAATAGCCAGCCGTCAGTGGGAGTCCACATGTCAAGTTTAATTTCTGTGTGTTTATGTGTAAACTGAAAACCAAGCACAAGAGAGATTTTTCAAACAACAAAAGCGAAATCCCCAAACAAGTAAAGATCAATAAATAACTGTCTTGAATAGTCTTAGCTAGACAGACAAAATAGCTTAATTGTTTATTATCCACATGCTTTAAGTGGCAGGAACTAATTGAATTTGAATTTAAACCTCTTATTTCAAAGACTCATTACTTTTTCAGATTTGCAATTGCATTTTAGAATTGCTATGCTAAATATTTAATATTCCTACTTTAATTCTAAATATACCTCAATTACTCTATATAATGTGGAAAATTACTTTCTTGTGCAATTTTTGTACAAGGTACAATGGCATAAAAAATAAGGCTGTATTACTATTGATGCTATTTGGATAACATTAAGTTATTATAAAAACAAGAAAAAAATGAAGTTCCTAGTGCAAACCTTTCTGAGGAAAATATGTATCACTTTCCTGAAATAAAAAGGAAAGCAGTTGTCTTCATTAAGACATAATTAATAAGCATGAAGGGTTTGCCAGATCCTAATCATAGCAATGAGTTTTGAAATCTGGCAATATATGGTTCCCTACTCTTGTGTCTTACTCCCTTCTTAGCTAGTCCCCATTGTGTATCTTATGTAAAATACCTTGTTTTATTAACTTCATTTCAAAAAAATCTTGTTGTGTAACCTAGCTTTTTTTAAAGTTAAAAATGAATGATAAGTCATTTCATTTTGAGAGCCTTTTGAAAATTTCTAAATTCTATCAGTAAGTTATAACCAATATTTAAGAGTTCAGGACAGACACTGACTATGCAGTTAAAGGACATGGACAGAACTTTGATGTATTTAAATTCTCTTATGTTTTTTTGAATTAAAGTACAGAAGCATTATTTAAAATGGATATCACTGGCAAAAGTAATTCTTATTTTTATCGGCTAAAAAAAATACATGCTTTAAGATGTCAGTGTGTGTAACAATTTCTTTCCTTTAAAGTATAGAAATGATTGGTGCCATAACTCTGTAAGCACAGTGCTCTGTCACTGTCCATGACTGCTCCCTTTGTGACCTTTGATTTATGTTAGGCAAGTTTACCAATAATACTCCAAGTTTCTTACTATCCTCAACTGTATAAAACTTATATGATTGTAGTGAAACAGGGCTGCTCATATAATCACAAAGATGTCAGACAAAAACAGTTTCCCATATCTGATGGGATAATGATACCAAAACAATAAAATGTTATTTAGTAGAGAAGCTGAATTATGAAAATGGGATGAATAATTGGAAATTTGAAAGAAATGTTTTCTTTTGTGAGCTAATAGTTAAACATCTTAGAAATAGAGACAGTTGTTGCAATTTTGGTTTCTTTTAATATTAATTTTTGTTAGTGGAAACTAGAATGATATTTAAAAATAAATGTAGAACAAGACAACAGCAATGCCCTTTTTTGCTGCATAATAAAAAAAAAAGTTGATAACACAGGTAAGAACAAAGAGAGATTAAAAAAAATGTATTAATACTGCTATCCTAAAGGGAATGGGGCATAGGGCTGAATTGGGACTGATCTCCACAATCTACCATGAGTTTTCCAGGGAGAGTGCTAAACTGGGGGCCCTTAGTTCCTGGTGGGAGGAGATGCTGAAAAAGAGAGTAGGACCCTGGAAGTTAAGAGAGTTAAGTGTTCGGAAAACATCGAATATGGTGGAATGAATGGGATTCCAAACCACCATTGAAATTCTTTTTTGTGTAATTTTGGGGGTGGATCATAGGCTTTCCCACTGTTTCTAAGCCCTAGCGGTAGTAACAGTAAAGTGCAAAATCCAAGTCTTTGCTATTGTGAATAGTGCCGCAATGACAGACTGGATTAAGAAAATGTGGCACATATACACCATGGAATACTATGCAGCCATAAAAAAGGATGAGTTTGTGTCCTTTGTAGGGACATGGATGCAGCTGGAAACCATCATTCTTAGCAAACTATCACAAGAACAGAAAACCAAGCACCGCATGTTCTCACTCATAGGTGGGAACTGAACAATGAGATCACTTGGACTCGGGAAGGGGAACATCACACACAGGGGCCTATCATGGGGAGGGCGGAGGGGGGAGGGATTGCATTGGGAGTTATACCTGATGTAAATGACGAGTTGATGGGTGCTGACAAGTTGATGGGTGCAGCACACCAACATGGCACAAGTATACATATGTAACAAACCTGCACGCTATGCACATGTACCCTAGAACTTAAAGTATAATAATAATAATAAAAATTTAAAAAAATTTAAAAAAAGAAAACCAGAAAAAAAATAAAAATAAAATTAAAAAAAAGTGCAAAATCATTGCATTTTGGTTCAAAAGGCATAATATAACCTAATTATGACATGACAAAAATCAGACAGATCGCAAATTGGAATATTCTTCAAAACAACTCCTGTCTACTCTTTGGAAATACTAACATCATGAACAAAAAATCAAAGCTGTAGAACTGCTCAACATTAAAGGAGTTGAGAGGAAAAGATGATTAAATACAATGCATGATGTTGAATTAGATTTTGAATCAGAAATTTTTTCTATAAAGAACATTATCTGTCAAAAGGCAAATTTGAATAAGGACTATACATTGTACACATTGCTAAAGGTATTGATTATGAGAGATATACTGTGGTTATGCAAGGGAATGTCCTTGTCTTTCTTAACCTTCTTAAGAGATGGATGCTGAAGTGTTTAGGAATAAAGAGTCATGATGTCTAGAGTTTACTCTGAAGTGGCTTAATGAGTATGTAAAATAGCCAACAGAATGAAATGTAAACAACTGGCGAATCTAGGTGATGGGTATAGGCATTCGTTCTACTATTCCTCAAAATTAAAAATTTTGTGTAAGTTTGAAATTCCAAATAACAAGTTTTTCAAAAATATGTGACATTTATGCCTCTGGCAAGGACTAACCATAAAGGCTTTGAACCTGTTTCATCTGTAAAATACAAATTATCTGGTACTTTTGTCTCTCATAAGTATCCACGGGATCATGGAGTTTGCAGAGCACCATTTACTTGTCTATGATTTGGAAAAATATTTTATAGAAAAGAAGAGAGTGATTTTTAACCCAACAACATTTATATCACAAATGACATAGTTGAATTTTAAATATTTAAAAACCTTAGCTTGTGTTTACCAATTATAATACAGCCATGCCTCCACTAAAGAATGCCCTGGGAATGAAACCTTTCTCTGTAACAGGAAATTTTAAGCTAAAATCAAACACTGATAAAAACAAGCACACAAATAAACATTTATATCATCATGTGACTATAGGTACTCAATAGTAGTGACTTTATGGTCTTGTTGCTATTATTCTTTAGAACTCTTTGATTTTTTGCATTTCAATTAAGAGTGAATAGAGCTCATCATAGTCAGGAATCGGAAGTCTGAGAAGGTTCAATTTTGATCAGTTATATATTTACATGTGTTTTTTTTTTTTTCATTCTTGGCATAAACTTAGAGAGTTATCTCAATCAGTTTTATCATGATTTAGAAAAAAATATGAGAATCAATTGCATCATTCTTGCAAGAGAAGGTCAAAATCAATGAAAAATTTCTTGAAAGAATAACTTACATTTTCTGAACTCCTTCATCATCACCTGCTTTATATTCTTCCTCCATAACTAAACTTCCCAAACACAAGTGGCAAAAATTACTAGTATTTTACTGAATATCAGATTCAGTGACATTTTCTTAATCTATATTCTTCTTTTTTTGCTTTATAAAGTGATTGACCCAGTCAGCCACTCAATTTTTTTATTCTGAAAATTTTCTCTTTTAGATGTCTATGAACATCTGTGTTACCGCTAACTTCTGACCTCCTTTACTCTTATTTCTCTAATAGCATACCTCCAAGATTGTCTTGAGACTCCTTTTTTTTTTTCAGGGGTCGGGAGATCTCATTCAATTAAGTCATCTCAAGATGACTTTAGAGAAGGCTTCCTCTTCAGACTCACCTTTCCAGTTGTTAAGTACTATGTAAACAGTTGTGATTGCCTGCTTCATAATGCTATCTAAACGTAGTCTCTACATGTCACATGATAGCCAGAACGTTAATTTCTCCATGCCCAAAGTTAAACCACCTGCACACCAACTTCACCGCTGTGAAATGAACTAGTGAGAAAAATATATATATAAAAGGAGAGGCATTATGAGAAAAAGTTTCATGTAGCAAAAATAATGAACACTGTTCTACAGTAAACAAGAGTGAAACTGGGTACTCCTTATAGAAACAGAATAGCTATGAACAAATTGATTTGTAAGTGAAGAAAGCAGAGATGCAGGATGGAAGCAGGGAGAGATAGAGAGAGAGAGAGAGAGAGAGAGAGAGATGGAGGGGGAGAGGGAACGTGTGCATACCAAGCAGTGATTTGATCGTTTAGCATGATAATGAAACAGCAGGATGTGCTCTTTTTATTTATTCTTCACTAGAATCGAAAGATCTTCACCTAAATAGATAGAACTTGAAAAAATTAATTTTAACTTATGATAAACTGATCTTTCAAGAACATGTGGGGAAAATATACTTATAATGAAATCTAGCTTGTACTATTACCAATAGTATGCACTAATGTTTAAAAATTAGTGTCTCCCTCAGCAGAGAGAGCTAAATTAAAATTAAAGTTTAAATAACATGTTTAAGCTTGAAAGATAGCCCATACTGTTAGATAATGTAAGTATGTTGAGAAAAGTAACTAAAAACTAATTCACCAAGTTTGTAAAATCAAATATTTTATACTCTAGGTAATCTTAATTTTGCTTAGTCACTGTAAATCGGATTATTCTTGAGATTGTATTTAAGTCAAGGCAAGATGGTCTTCTATTTACAAATGTAATTTAGTCTCATGAGTGGGTAATCTTGTTAAATATTGTCAGGTTAATTAAAATTGATTTGTGTTTACTAAACATAGTGAATACTAATCAAATATTAGACACTGAGGTGTTGGAGTTACATTTTAAACTTTGACAGACACCATTAGCGCTGCATGAAAGAATTTGTTGTCTCAGAGGTCAACATTGTTTTTCAGCCTTTTCTCCAAAATAAATACTAAGAAAAAATGAGAAGAAATGACCTATACTTCTTAAATACAATTTTGTGATTTGGGAATATTTGGGAGAATTAGGGATACTTTTGGGTGGGGAATTGATTATTTATGTTTTATTTCTGTTGCTACAAACAGCACATTTGCTTTTCCGTCTGCTTAATTCCATTCCAAGTTTGCTATTCTCCACCACTCACGGCATCATTGAGCTCTACATAATAACTTTTATAGGAGACAAACATTACCAGGCAATTTGAAAGGCAGGTTGAAGATAAAGGCTGATAGCTCACGTGCCCTGGCCTGGTGACTTGGCTCACTTCTGAAGCTTACACTGAATGTGGTCGATGTCCATCAGCTCTATGAGGCTTAAAGAAACATTTCTCCTAATACAAAAATAAACCCACTATAATCATTCGTTTTGGGGAAATTTTACAGTTGTTGGTTAACGTGCTCCCTTATGCCCTGCAATATTCATTAGCAGACTTCTCTGTTTATGAGTGATATTATATAGAAATGGTTATGGGAAGCTAACAGATGTAATCACTGAAATAAATTAGAAGAAAAAGTTCTGTTTTTTACAGATGGCTCCATCAAATGTGCTTCCCTCCCCTACCCTCCGCTTTAACATTTAGTTTTCTTTCAACAGAAAACTTTTCTTTACTGACTACGGGAATGTCGCCAAAGTGGAGAGATGTGACATGGATGGGATGAACAGAACAAGGATAATTGATTCAAAGACAGAGCAGCCAGCTGCACTGGCACTAGACCTAGTCAACAAATTGGTTTACTGGGTAGATCTTTACTTGGACTATGTGGGAGTAGTGGACTATCAAGGAAAAAATAGACATGCTATCATTCAAGGCAGACAAGTAAGTACAATTTTGTTAGAAAATGCTCCGAGGGTAATACAATGAAAGAAATAATACAAAAAGGAAACCAATATTTGCAATATTGAAAATTTCTTGTGAAGTCGAGCTGCAATGAGTCATAAAAGTTACAGTATATTTCCTATATTGGAGAATGTTCTTTTCACAGTGATATTGTGATATTTCCACAAAATTGGAGATTCCTCTCTTACTCTTTCTCCCTTCTATTAAAAACAGATAAACAAGTAAACAAACACAAAACAAAGACAAAAATGCTATATTAGTAAAAAATAAAAGTATTAAAATAGATCCGATTTTATGGCCTATTTGCTAAAAACTAATTTAAGTAGTTCATTCATGAGAAGCTGAACTATCATCTGTCCCCTGTGGCATTGGAGATATTTTTCTAACAAAAGCAAATGCCTGTTCCCAAAAGTACCTTTGTTATTTTAATTGGTTTCATTAAATTTTGACTTCTGATGTGTTCAAGCACTTCCTAAAAAGAGAATTCTGTGAAAGTCACGAAGGTCAAAATTCTTCCTAAATGTGTTACTTTTTATTTTGCTGAAATACGTTTTTCAAACAATGCTCAGTGAATGCCTAAAAGAGATCTCTAAGTAGAAATCAGCCTTATTTACTATAATACATTTAAAAATCTGATTCTGTCTCACTGATTGCACTTATTTTATGTGAGATTCTTAGTCTATGGAGCTGAAAATGTGAATCTCTTTGGATTCTTTTGCAATGCAAGACAGGTATATTCTGTGATTATCCTTTAAAGTTCCTTTTACTTTCTAATCAGCTTTAAAAATGAAATCCTTTCTCCTTCCTTGACAGATAAAGAGATGCACTAATCTGTTTGGGGTTAGGGGGAAACCTGTTCAACGTTAAAGGTGGGCCAGTGCTTTCTCTCTCACCTTCAACTGCCCCAAAAATCTTGATTCCTTTCAAAGTTCTTAGTTACCAACCTTAGAGGACCTGACCTCTGAGAGGATTATCATGGCCCTTCTCTTTACTTATTTGCAATTAAAAAGTTAAACCTTGTTATGAAGATAGGGAGTTCACATAATTTTTTTCATGACTACTTTAAAAAGTTTTGAAAACCTGAAGTGTTTAATTATTCTTTTGTCCCCATGTCTGTTGCCTGTATTTTGCTTGTTCCTTAAACATATGCTAAGTCTGCCACTAAATAATCCAACATAGATACAGTTTTTGAAGTACTGGGGCTGAAGGCAAAATGGTTTATCTACTGCTCCAGGCTTCTCCTACCTCTGCCTAGGGGATAATTAGCAGAGGTGTTTATTTTAGGGGAAATAGTATTTTCTGCAGGAAGATAGGGACATAGTGAGTGAATTTTACCTTTATTGGCTGAACATATTTTCCACCTTGACCAATTGCCTCTTATGTAGCAGGCTTTTTCTCCTGGGTTATGAATTGGCAGTCATGTAGACAACAATGCTGATATCCCATCACTACAGGCTTCCTGGTTAATGACCCCAAACTTTGAGCAAAACATGCATGAGACTAACGGCAAGGGAAGAATCTTGAGCTTGCTTATAATTTTTGTAGGACAAAGTATTATCCAAGTCAAAATTTGGCCATAGACATTTTTAGTAAATTTGATGTCAGCTAGGTGGAAAATGATATTAGTAAATATACACTTGACTACACCCACACATAAGTACAACACATGCCCATACTGTGGAAAAACATGTACATAGAAAAGAACTATTTGGGCTATAACGTGGAATAGTTCTCCCTAGTAATTCTCATATTTTATGTCCAAACTAAGCATGAAGAAATGAGATAAAACCCAAAAACATCATGTAAAGCCAGTCTTCTTTTAGTCACATCTCATACAAGAAGACCAAAAATAGAACTAATGAGTCATATATGCTAGAAAGATAAATCAAATGTTTTTGTTTAAACTACAGAACTGGCAAGATTTTCTGGTTAAAATAGAACATTTTGTGATTTTTGTTCTATAAGTATTTTTATAATCAAACCACATGTACTTTTTCAAATTCTCTTAACTGCAAATGTATGTATTATAAGTGTGCGATGTAATGCCAAAAGTAGTGACAGATGCTTTTTCAACAAAATCTCTGCAGCAAGTCAATTGGCAACTTCACTATACCCTGGAACAGAACCATTTTAAATTAAGTAAAGGAGTAGCCAAAGGCAATGTGCCTAGCATGTGCCTTTTTATCAGAAAATCAGTACATGTATTCTTCCTTTTGCTCCAGGGGAAAACTTTCTAAGTTCAAGATGTCCATTCTTCCCCATAAACCCCAAGACCTTTGCCAAAGAGAAGAGCTGGACTGTTAAATAAGAATATGAATAGCAATAAATATAGTAATTCTCAAAAGAAACAGTTATATTCCTATTATAAATTGGCTTTAGAAATAATGCTATTTCTGAGTGAAATGTTGACATTTATTTACAATGATTGCAAATATGTGATTTCTTTATATATTACTTTCAGTGCTGGAGCAAGTGCTAGTCTAAACATAGCTTAGGACAAAAAAAATTGGATTTTGACTTTATAAAACAAATCTTCAGAGGTGCTTTCTCATTAGTCGTTTCACAGGCAGAGCTATGTTTTTGCAGCTTCTACATATCCATTATTGTATAAACAAGTAGCCCTTAAAATATCTCAAATTATATATAACAGTGTCATAGGTATATTATTGAATATGCTTGAAAGTGTTACTCTCAGAAGCCTTTGAAAAATAACTACTAAATATGCTTTCTTAGTGACACATAAATAAAATTCTCTCCCTACATGTGGAACTGTTTTAAACACTACTACATCATGTTTTCTTTTCTTTCTTTCTTTCTTTTTTTTTTTTTTTTTTTTTTTTTTTGAGACGGAGTCTCGCTCTGCCGCCCAGGCTGGAGTGTAGTGGCCGGATCTCAGCTCACTGCAAGCTCTGCCTCCCAGGTTCACGTCATTCTCCTGCCTCAGCCTCCCGAGTAGCTGGGACTACAGGCGCCCGCCACCTCGCCCGGCTAATTTTTTGTATTTTTAGTAGAGATGGGGTTTCACCGTGTTAGCCAGGGTGGTCTGGATCTCCTGGCCTTGTGATCCGCCCGCCTCAGCCTCCCAAAATGCTGGGATTACAGGCGTGAGCCACCGCACCTGGCAAAAATAAGTTTTAATCAGTGAAATGTTGAACTCCTTGAGAAAAAGTAAATAACATCCTTGCGGTTCTCCTGCTGTAGCCATTTCCCATACTAGTAAATAGCAATCAGCTTTTCTTTCAAAGTGAAAACTACATAATTAAAAATCATAGTTATGTTTTCCCCTTGTTATAGGTCAGACATCTTTATGGTATAACTGTGTTCGAAGATTATTTGTATGCAACCAATTCTGATAACTACAATATCATAAGGATAAACCGATTTAATGGCACTGATATTCACTCATTAATTAAAATGGAGAATGCTCGGGGAATCCGAATTTATCAGAAAAGAACTCAACCGACAGGTAAGTGGGAAGGCTTCTTTCTAACCTTCCTAATGGTAGATTGAATGGGGATATAGTCCTTGTGCTTTTGTATGGTGTTGAAGTGAGTGAGTCATAAATTCTCTGCTTTGACAGCGAAAGTGGGCATGTCTGCTTGTTAGGTGGAATAGAGCTCCCGTCACAAGTCTAAATGACAAATTGTTCGGTTCCTAGTGAATCGTTTCTACGATAGAACTGAAATGATAGCAAGATTTAGATTCAGGAAGGGGCTTTCAGTCGTGATGTATATAGACAGGAAACCCAGATGCTAAGGTTATTTTTTTATTATTATTTTTTAATATCATTTTGGTAGACAAATTTAAAATCAGGTGAGTGCCTTGCAGTATCTGTCCAGTGTTTACTATAGTCATTAGGCTCTCCTAACTTAACATTCCAATTGTTCTTTAACACATATTCATTAAAAAGTAATTTTCAATGAGAAGGCTGCAGTTCTTCTCAGAAAAACAAACCAGTAGTTTTTTACAAGAGATTAGTGATGCTGTTCATCAATACAATTTAGGTTCAGTCACATATAAAATAAGAAAATATCAAAAACCACCAGCAAATTTTTTATTATATTCTATACTTATATTTCAAATCAAAACTAGCCTAGAATTATCTAAGCATTAACATATATCTAATCATGGCTGTACATTGTCACAAATATGTTTAGAACAGATTCAAATATAAAATTCTGTAGATAGCCTTCTTGGAGTTTAATATTAGGATTTATTCAGTCATTAATTTTTCATGGACAATCTACTATGTTCCAGGAACTATTCTATGTATACTGTGAATACAGAAGTGAATGAAACAGACAGAACAGTCTTGCCGTTATGAGTTTGCACTCCAGCGGAGAAGCTATAATACAGAATAACTAAGTAAATTATGTATTATATTAGAAGATAATAAGTGCTATAGAGAAAATAAAGACGGTAAGGAGGATAAAGAGTGTTAGAAATGGGAGCAGTCTTCAATTTTATGTGGAATAGTCAAAAGAAGTTCCATTGAAAAGATGACATTAAATGATGACTTGAGGTATTTGAAGGAGAAAGGCTTGGGGATTGTATTAGTCCATTTTCTCGTTGCTGATAAAGACATACTCAAGACTGGGCAATTTACAAAAGACAGAGGTTTAATTGGACTTACAGTTCCACATGACTGGGGAAGCCTCACAATCATGGCAGAAGGCAAGGAGGAGCAAGTCCCATCTTATGTGGATGGCAGCAGACAGAGAGCTTGTGCAGGGAAACCCCACTTTTTAAAACCATCAGAACTCAGGAGACTTATTTGCTATCACAAGAACAGCATGGGAAAGACCTGCGTCCATGATTCCATTACCTCCTACTGGGTCCCTCCCACAACACATGGGAATTCAAGATGAGATTTGGGTGGGGACACAGCCAAACCATACCAGAGATATCTGGGCAAAAACATTGCAGGTGGTGAGATGAGCAAGCACAAAAGCCATGAGGAAAGAACATATCTAGACAGTTCAGGGAGTGGCAAGAATACCTGTGTGTCTAAAGCAGAATGAATGAGGAAAAGAGAAGTAGGAAATGAGGCTGGAGAAACAAAGGAGGATCATAACAAGTAGGGCCCTGTAGACTATTATAAAAAAAAAAAAAAAAAAACTTTTGCTTATACTTTTAGTGAGATGGGAAGTCCTTAGAAAGCATTAAACAGAAAAATCTCATGGTATGACTTACATTTTTAAAGAACCAATGTGGCGGCTGGGTGCGGTGGGTCACGCCTGTAATCTCAGCACTTTGGGAGGCTGAGACGGGTGGATCAGGAGGTCAGGAGATCAAGACCATGGTGGCTAACACAGTGAAACCCCGTCTCTACTGAAAATCCAAAAACTTAGCTGGGCGTGGTGGCGGGCGCCTGTAGTCCCAGCTACTCGGGAGGCTGAGGCAGGAGAATGGCTTAAACCCAGGAGGCGGAGCTTGCAGTGAGCTGAGATCCGGCCACTGCACTCCAGCCTGGGCGACAGAGCGAGACTCCGTCTCAAAAGAAAAAAAAAAAAAAAAGAACCAATATGGCTACTCTGTTTATAATAGGTACTGGGGAGGAGAAGGGTGGGAGGTTACAGAGGATGGTGGATTGGATCAAGATGGCAGCAGTGAAAGTGGGGAGAATGGGGAAATTCAGAATATAGGCAAATATAGAGCCAATAGGATTTTCTGATACATTAGATGTGGAGTATAAATAAAAAGATAATCAAGGATAATGCCAATGGTCTAGCTAGAGCAGTTGGAATAATTTAGTTATTTTTTAGATGGGAAAACTAAGCTTGGAGTGAATTTAGGACAAAGATAGTAAATGTAATTTTCATGAGTTACTTTAAATGTTTATTATAAATTATAGTGAAAATATTTAAATATACAATTCTGGAGTTGAAGGGGGGAAGTCCAGGCTTGAGATACCAATTTGAGAGTCATTGGCAGATAGGTGACATTTAAAGCCATGACTATGGATGTGAACGTGAAGGCAGTAAATACAAATGTAGAAATAAGCATTCCAAGTAATGTACACTGGTATGCTCCAGCAATAAGTCACAAAGAATAGGGAAAACCAAAAGAGGAGACTGAGATGAAGCTTCTTAAATCCAATTGACCATTAGATTTAGCAGCACGAAGCTCACTGGGATCTGATAAGGGCAGTTTCAGGATAAAGTGAATACATGAGTAGAATGGGTTTGAGAGAAGAAGGAAAAGAATTGTAGAAAATGATCATTGTAGCTTTGCATAGTGTGGATGTAAGCTAGAGGAGAGAAATGGAGAGCTACTTGAAGGAGGGATCGTTGTGGGAATTTGGGTTAAAAGATTTCTTTATTAGATGTAGAAATAATGGTACATTTGCATGTTGATGGACATGATCCAATGGAAAAAGCAAAAGTGTTGATGAGAGTGAGAAAGTGGAGAGTTGGTGATTAGTTGAGAGGAGATGTGATCTATTATATAAGTGGAGAGAGTTTAGAAAATAAAAATAACACTCGGCAGGGAAAAAATAGTTAAAATTGCATTTCACTTATATTCCCACTTAGAGAATGAATAATACAAATAGAATAGGCATAATTATTAAAAGCATAGTAGTTTTATTATGAAGAGAATATTGCCATGGTATTCATCACCATTTCAAACAAGTGGGTGATCTAAAAGAAACATAATTAAGAACCAAGAATGGGCTGCCCTTGGGGAAAGAGGATCTAGGATCCAGTTGCTGCAGCTTATGGCTTGCCCCTGTGTGTACAGTTGTTAAATTATTATTTTATTTTTATTTTTAAAAAGTTATCCTTTAAATAGATAATACAGGCATATAGCTTAAAAGGAAACCTCAAAAGGCACAAAGGATTTTTTTTTATTTTAAATGATTTTATGTAATCATTTAATGAAATGATTTTTAAATGACTCTCATTTTAAATGAAAAAAATACTGTATCAGCATTAATTAAACATCTCTTTGAAAAAAAGAAACATAATTACAGTAATACATAAAATCTTACATTATTCCTATTATTTCTTTTCACTTTGATCCCTTTCTTTTCTCATCCTCTCCATATAATACTTTTCTTACCTTTTTAGTTTACTAGGTTTTATACTCATAAAATATTCTACTCCTCAATTTCTGTACATACACTCAGCCTCCACCATTTGACAACTACACACACACACACACACACACACACACACACACACACACACATACACAAATACATATTTTGTTTTGTGGTAAGAGTCTCAAAATGACAATAGACTTAAAAATTTTAATAATATTTTGCCACAGCACTTCTCAACAGAGTACAATCACAGAATCTCATTTCTTCTAGTTTAGTTGCCTATATGATGAATCATTTCAAAGTAAATCCTTTCTCCGCTTAACTACCTAACCTGGAATTATTTTTATGGATCTTTGTATTCATTTTAGAAATTAGTATTTTAAAAAAGGATGAGACGCATGTACCAAAAATTCATGTTACTTTTATTTTGCTCACCGGTGAAGAGTTTAAATTAATATGAATGCATTTTATTTCTTAGAATTGTTTTTTAAAATGCCCACTTAGGAGGATTTTGTTAAATCCCAATCTCTTCTTCTATGGGTTTTAACTCTTTTGCATTTGATTATGGTGCTAAATAGTTGCGTATACAAAATTTTGCTAAGATTCCCTGTTTTTACACTGTAGAAATTTTGACAGACTGATGCACATAGTTATCCTTGAACCTGAATTTCACGCATGCTGTTTTTTATTTGTTGTAGTCAGAAGCCATGCATGTGAAGTCGATCCATATGGAATGCCAGGGGGCTGTTCACACATCTGTCTACTCAGCAGCAGTTACAAAACTCGGACCTGTCGCTGCAGGACTGGCTTCAACTTGGGAAGCGATGGCAGGTCATGCAAAAGTATGTTGTTAAAATAAAACATTTTGCCAGCAGCTACCCCCCTTATAATAGGATTTTAAGTATTAATTAGCAGCATCAACATCAGTCATAACATGAGACTTCAACAGGTGAAGTTTGCCTGCAAATATATACTGTCCATTTTTCTCAAAATAAGTATTTTTCTGTTGTGATAATGTGAATTAGAAACTAACCAGGCTGTAGAGTCACTAAATTTATTGATTTTTAGGGAAACATATGTTGGGGAAGATTTTTAGGAAGATGCTTCCCTTAATTCCCTAAAGAATGTATTTGAGCTAATGAGCTGGAACGATGAGTTGATAAGATTTCCTCTTATTTGAAACAATATGCTACTCCTCATAATAGGTGTGTTGCTTGTTTCGACAGAAATCCACGTATAGACAGGCTTCGTTTTATCTACCATCACTGGGGAGTGAAGTCACTTCATGATTTAATTTTTCATGATTTAATTTTTCAGGTAACTGAAGCTATGCTAATTAGAGATCAAACATTTAACAATTTTATCAAAAAAATTTTAATGATTTTATCAAAAAGTTTTCTAATCTCTTAGATATATCTCTGTTTATTTTTTAAATAGGCCAGAATAATTTATTTTAATTTAAATATAGTAATAAGGATTTTAAAAATTACTCTCGCAACTTAATATTTTGCACAATAATTAGTTAAGGTCTTTTCCTGGGGTCTTGATATTCAGGTATAGTAGAATGGTCCTGATTGAAATGATCCTACTGGGGACTGTTGGTCTTTAAATGTTCCCCAGACCCCATTATTTTTAATTTTATGATGACTGCTTTTTACAGTGTCTAGTTTGTCTGTACCTTTGTCATAGTGACAGCTTTTTATTTCTGTCAGTCCTCTCTCTCTGGTCACAATCCTGTCATCTCTTCCACTCTCTGGTCATGTGCTTACTGAGGACTGTGAAATTAGATCTCTAAATGTGTTAGAATTTTAAGTCTAAATGGTTAGAGCTACTAATAGAATATATAGTTTAAAATGAAGAATCAAAGAGGCTAAACTATGTTAATATGTATGTATTTTTGTGCTTTGTTTACATTTTTTTATTTGTATTCCTGATTTTGTATTAAATACTGGAAGTGTGAAGGTAACAGGTCTCATGTTCCTAGGCCTTCGGGATAATTGAGGGCACTGAGTTTGAAGCCTCACAATAAAAGAAATTTTGTGTGTGGGTGCATGTGTGTATATGTAGTGTGTGATTTTAAAATTGATCTGTATGCCACTTGGGAGATATAATCACACACACACACACACATATATATATACACACAAGCATATGTGCATACAGACATACACACATTGGAGGAAAAACGTAAGATCAGAATTGCATATTATTCAATCATCTCTAATGTAGTATATCACCTGCAGTACATTAATACTCATCAGAAATAATTCCAGCTATTTGGAGCAACAAGAGATTTAATGCAAATAGGTGCCTACAAAATCATTTAAAAACCTGGACCAGTAGCTTCTAGACTACTGGGTCTTTGGAACATCCCCCCCAAACATTCCAGCTGAAAGCTGGAACATCTACCATACTCAGAAGCTACAGCATCAGGAAGCCATAAATGAAAATGTTAACTTTAAAAACATACCATTTCGCTGAGATCCAGGGATTAGAAAGCTGGCACCAAAACTATCAGATGCAGAGTTAAGTCACATCTGATAGCCCCTAACAGGAAAAAAATAAAAAAGAAGAGGAAAGGAGAAACACCCTGTTCCTCACGTCTTGATATGGAATGGGAGAAGCCTGCTGTGGAAAAATTCAATGTCTCCATTGGATTCATACCAGCAGAGGCGGCAAAAAGGGGACCTTTGCCTCACTTTCATGTTCTAAACTTGAGCTAGCATATCTCATTTTAGGTAGTCAAATAAAATCCACTACCTTTGGCTATATGAGTGTCTGTGAAATGTATTTTCTAGTATTCAATTGTCTATAGTACAAGAAGACACACTAGAAGAAACTTAAGTAGGTATTAAAGAATACCTAGGAAATGACCAATGAAAATAATGGGGAAAATCATTACTATTCTTATTTAAAACATACATACCTATAAACACACACAAACAATCACACATATTACATTAACGAAGTACTAGGTTTACCAATTACCAATTAAGACATCCATTAGAAGTAAAACCAAGGGCGAGTGTTGTGGCAGAGGCCTGTGATTTCAGCACTTTGGGAGGCTGAGGCAGGTGCATCACTTGAGCGCAGGATTTCAATAAGAGCCTGGGCAACATTGCAAAACCTAGTCTCTAAAAATCTATAAATGTTAGACAGGCATGGTGGCACACTCCTGTAGTCCCAGCTACTTCAGAGGCTGAAGTAGGAGGATAGCTTAAGCCCAGGAGGCAGAGGTTGCAATGAGCTGAGATTTGAGCAAAATGGGTGCTATAAAACCAGGATTCCTATGTATTGCTAATATAATTAGAAATTGATATCACAATTGGTAAGACATTTGCTAATAAGTATAATGATCATAAAACTGACAACATAATTAAACAAGTTATACTTCTTTACTTTTGATTAAGGAAATTAAATGTATTTATAATAACAGCAACTCAGAAACAATATAACTGTCCAACAATAGGTAAGCAGCTGACTATATTATGTTACTTCTCTAGTAAGGAATCTTATGCTGCCATTGAAAGAAATGTTTTTGAAGACTTTTTAATGGCTTGACAAAAAGTCATTACAGTGAAAAGAATTTATATACAATATCCCAATTTTTGAAAAATACAGAAGTATATATGTATCTAATGTGGATAGAAAATACTTTAAAATGTTAATGATTTTCAAATGTATCAATATACTTTAAAATAACATAAAGTATTATTTTAAAAGAAAATGCCCTTGACATCAGGTAGACACTGCAAGGCTATGAGGGCAATGAAGACAAGGATGTTAATGTACTTTGCTCTGTAATTTCATCTAAGAAAATGTGTGAAATGCTAAATTGAAAAAAAAAATGCTTATATCATTATTATAATGATGAAAACAGAAAACTATTTGGAAAATTAGTTGGTAAATTATTATACGTCAAACAGAAACAAGGCTTGGCTTAAGATAATGGTTCAATATAGATAATAATCTTGATTCTAAAATTAATAAGAGCAGAATATAAAATTGAGTGTCTACTTTGATATAAGTAAATATACATTTAAAAAGTACCTACATACATTAAATATGAAATAGTCATACAAAGGAATGTTATACAGCAGTGAAAATGAGTGAACTCTGATTACAAGAAGAATGGATGAATATCAGGAGTATAATAAAAAATAAGTTTAATCACAAGATTCACACATGCAATTCAAACATGCAGAATTAAACAATCTGCTGCTGGGAAATACACCACGTATGTGTTAAAACTCTTTTAAAAATACATAATAAACACAACAATCAGGATATCGACTCTTTCTGAGTTGGAGGAGAGCGGGTTTGGGCACATTTATGTCTTCCAGTGTACTGGAAATATTCTTCACGTTTGTGCTAGGTACCTGGAATTTGTTTTATTTTTATTATTTATATATTAAAATATGTTATCAGTTCCTGTACTAGTTTGCTGAGAATGATGGCTTCCAGCTTCATCCATATCCCTGCAAATGACATGATCTCATTCTTTTTTATGGCTGCATAGTATTCCATGGTGTGTATGTGCCACATTTTCTTTATCCAGTCTCTCATTGATGGGCATTTGTGTTGGTTCCAGGTCTTTGCTATTTACATAGTGCTACAGTAAACATACATGTGCATGTATCTTTATAGTACAATGATTTATAATCCTTTGGATATATACCCAGTTATGGGATTGCTGAGTAAAACGGTATTTCTGATTCTATATGCTTGAGGAATCACCACACTGTGGCGATTCAGAATGGTTGAACTATTTTCAGAATGGTTGAACTAATTTACATTCCCACCAACAGTGTAAAAGCGTTTCTATTTCTCCACAATCTTGCCAGCAACTGTTGTTTCCTGACTTTTTAATCATTGCCATTTTGACTGGTGTGAAATGGTATCCCATTGTGGTTTTGATTTGCATTTCTCTAGCGACCAGTGATGTTGAGCTTTTATTCGTGTTTGTTGGCCATATAAATGTCTTCTTTTGAGAAGTGTCTGTTCATATCCCTTGCCCACTTTTTGATTTTTTTTTTCTTGTGAATGTGTTTAAGTTCCTTGTAGATTCTGATTATTAGTCCTTTGTCAAATGGGTAGATTGCAAAACTTTTCTCCCATTCTGTAGGTTGCCCCTTCACTCTGATGCTAGTATCTTTTGCTGTGCAGAAGCTCTTTGGTTAAGTTAGATCCCATTTGTCAACTTTGGCTTTTGTTGCACTTCCTGTTGGTGTTTTAGTCATGAAGTCGTTGTCCATGCCTATGTCATGAATGGTATTCCCTAGTTTTTCTTCTAGGATTTTTATGGTTTTGGTTTACATTTAAGTCTTTAATCCATCTTGAGTTAATTTTTGTATAAGGTGTAAGGTGTAACCAAACCCTGCATGTTCTCACTTATAAGTGGGAGTTGAACAATGAGAACACATAGACACAGGGAGGGGAACAACACACAACGGGGCCTGTCAGGGATGAGGGGCAAGGGGAGGGAGAGCATTAGGACAAATGCCAGTTGCATGTGGGACTTAAAACCTAGATGACCGGTTGATGGGTGCAGCAAACCACCATGGCACATGGATACTATCTATGTAACAAACCCGCATACTCTGCACATGTATCCCAGAACTTTAAGTAAATTTTTTTTTTAAAGTTATCGACATTCTTTTATATATATTTAATATTCAATTACACTAATTTAAAAAACACGAGAAAATAAATATAAATGTTAATATACTTTGTATTTTTAGGTATATAAATAATTGCTTATTTTTATTATTTTCCAAATTTTAATATTATTTTACTTTATTATGAATATCAATTATTGTGTGGTTATCCAAATACAGCTGAGTCTTTTGTATCTTCAGTTTTATTAATAAACCTCAGTATGTTTTTCCTTTTATATAAAAATTATTTCCTGTAAAATTATATACAGTAAACCAAGCATAAGATGCCCCGGTAATTGGAGAATCCTGTGTATATTTTTATATAGAAGTCCAAAACAGGGAATTCACTCTATAGAAAGAGCTACTTTGATGCTGACATTTTAAACTCAGGAGACAGTTTTTTGTATGGGGTTTTCATTTTTCTTTTGTTTTTGATAAGGCCTGTGTTGTTCATCAGAGTTACTGTCAGACAGCATCAGCCTCTAACATTCTAATTAAAATTTGAAGAAAAAGGGATGCTATCACTGGTATTTAATTTCATTTCTAAAAGAATAAGTCACATGTTCGGGCATCTGTAATATATTCACAAGCAAGTTAGTGATGCTATATGATTCTTTGTTTGCCTCTGACAATTCGTAGATGCAAACTTGGGGTTGGCGTGTCTTAAATTTTCTGAAGATTTTAGCATTGTCAAATATAATGAATGGTACAGTTAGTATCGACAGAAAATGCTAGATAGATTGTAATGCATTATAAAATTAAATGTGCAGGATGTTTTAATAAATGCCTATTTTACAAGTTACAAGTTATCTAATGATCTGTCAGGTTTTAGCTATCCAGACAGTTACAGACAAAAGGATAATTAACTACCTATAACCCATTCGCAGAAGTAATTTCTGTTTTAATTAAAGTAATGCAATTAGCTGGCCTTCTTGCATCAAAACTACAAGATACATTTGGCATATTTTAGAGTTTAATTTTTAGCATTGAATTAAAAAAAAAAAAAAAAACGCTAATTGTGCCAGTTAATTAAACGGTGGCATTATGCAGTGTAAAGAAGATTAAGCAGCATCCATTGTTTATATTTGTAATCTTTCCTCTGCAGGACCAAAGAATGAGTTGTTCCTCTTTTATGGGAAAGGACGCCCAGGAATTGTTAGAGGAATGGACTTGAATACCAAGATAGCTGATGAATACATGATCCCCATAGAAAATCTGGTAAACCCTCGTGCTTTAGATTTTCACGCAGAAACCAATTACATCTACTTTGCTGACACCACCAGTTTCCTAATTGGCCGGCAGAAGATAGATGGCACAGAACGAGAAACCATCCTGAAAGATGGTAAGTGACACTGTGACATTAACATCAAACTACTCAGAGATAAAGCACTTTAAAAGGATAAATCTAGTGTGTGTCAGACTGGTTTTAACCAGAACTCAAGTTCTTCTGGTTGGTTCAAAAATATTTTTTAATGTTATGTCTTCAGTAACATTGTTTCTCTGTTTTCATATGCCAGTGTATTAAAACCTTCATTATAAAATGGCACTTGCTGTCATCTCCTATACTCTAAATATTATCAGGATAAAAATTGAACTATTATCCATCTTCTGGGAAATGTCAGTTTACACTGATATGTTTACAGTGCTGTATGGTAGAACGCAAAATTTAATAGGATTTCAGAGACTTTCATAACAGTTGGTTTTCATTAGACTATTGATCATGTCACTCAAAATGCATGAAAAATATCAATGTCCACATTGTCCTCACAATTCTTGCATTTTATTTTTTACTTTACACATCACCGAAATGAAGTTTTCTAGAGTTGCCCTTGGAATATCAGTATCTCCAGAGAAACTTAATACATTTATACCTATTTTTATTTATAGGTACCTATATAAAGTTATATACATGCAAACAGATATATGTACATTTGAATAAAAGCAATGTATTTTATAAATTATTTGGCTTAGGAACAAGTAATCTAGTAACAAAACAATGTTAACTTTGGTATCAGTAGAAAATATTGCAAATAATAAATCAAACCAGATCTTCACTGGCTGCCAGTCATTTTTAGGCATGTTAACAAATGATTCTGGACCTGTTTCCTCATATATAAAGTCTGCTTACTTCTTGAATATTTTAGAAATACATGATTTGAGGAACATTCATTGTGTGCTTATTTTATGAAGGACATCATGGTAGCTATATCTCAGGAGATAAAAGCAATTTTAGGGAATGACTTCTGCCTTCAAGGGGTTTGTAGTCTACCTTTAGAGATGGTACAAGCACACAAAAAGTTTAAAGGCATTGCAGCATTTAATGAATAAGTTTGAAGCTGTCTGAAAGAAATATATGAGCAATAGAGAATACTTGTGTAATGGGTATTCACAGGAAGCAAGAGATATCTTTATGTGGGTATAGTCAGAGAACTCCTTGGGCAGGCTACGGTATTTGGGCTGAATCTTAATGGAGAAACGTTAAAGAGGCAGAGGAGACGTTTCTGCGACCAGAAATTCCATGAGAAAAAGATAAAAGCACAATCTCTAGAAAGAGGATGTGGGGGACCTAAATGGAAAGCTACTGGAGGTTTCCTTTGCAGGTAATAATAGCAGAAGAGAGTGGAAAGTGAAAGGCGCTAAAAGAAAGGGCCTGGAATGTAAGTGAAGGAGTTTGGAAAAAATCCCCAAGGAATAAAAGGAAATGCTTTCGAGTCAAAGAATAATGTGAACAAAGTGATATTTTAGGAGGATCAATCTGGTTGTTGGGTGCAGAATGAATCGGAACTTGATTGAGATGAGAGAATATGAGAAAATGAAAGCAGAGAGATAGACTAAAATTATTTACAGCGTGGATGGTAGTAAATGGAGGTCTCTCCAATCTTTTAGAGGAAATGAGAGCATGAGAATATTCTTCATTCAACACAACTTTACTTTAAATCAAACCTGATAAAAAATATACTTTCTATCTAAAATAAAAACATCCCTGTTTTTGTCTTTCTTGTAATTTACTGATTAAGGCAATGTAAATCCTCCATAATTTAAAATTCTGAAGGAGTATCTAATTAAAGTTAAGATTTTCACTTTAAATTAGATGTGACAGAGGCTGTCTTCCTACTTTTCTCTTAATGTGATAGCAGACGATAGGGTCTTGACAGTTTTAGATGGACAATGGAATTGCACATTCTGTCTATGTAAATAACATTTACATTGTTTTGTGTTTGACTCAGACACTCTCATTTATTATTATGATTATTATTATTTTTTGATAGAGTCTCACTCTGTCACCGAGGCTGGAGAGCAGTGGTGCAATCTCGACTCCCTGCAACCTCTGCCTCCGAAGTTTAAGTGATTCTCCTGCCTCAGCCTCCTGAGTAGCTGGGATTGCAGGTGTGCACCACCACGCCCAACTTGTTTTTGTATTTTTACTAGAGATGGGGTTTCACCATGTTGTCCAGGTTGGACTGAAACCCCCGACCTCAGGGGATCTGCCTGCCTCAGCCTCCCAAAGAGCTGGGATTACAGGCATGAGTCACCATGCCTGGCCGACACACTCACTTTCAAGGACTAAAATATGTAACAGAGAGAGTTCTTGGTTTCCTTTTAAATTGTGTCAGTTCCTGTGCTATGACTTGATGTTCCTGCTAATAATCCTAACTTTGAGAACAATATCAAGGACATTGGTGGTTCTTTGCATTCCACCCATCACAACAGAGATCAACTCTAATAGCCACAATGACCGCAAGGCACATCTGTCCAGCACTGCTTTGACAGTATGAAGGTTATGAGAACATTTTGCAAATTTTCACACCTGAAATATATTTAACATTTTTGTCTTTCTACACAAGGAACAGCTTAATATCTTTTTATTAGTTTATCTTTTTTCTTTCCATTAAAGAGAATAACGATACACATTACAATATGAGATTAACATGTCAAAGCAGAGACTTAGATTTGGCAAATGAAAACTTGTCATTCTTGGCATCAGAAAAATTAAATTCTATGTGTATTCACTTACTTAGAGTGTCTACCATTGAACCTGAAGACTGCAAAGCAATGCTTAGTTTGACAAATGATTTGGAAGTTTGATAGAAATTCTGAGACGTTGATAAATTTATATAGTTTGAAGTACAAGGATATAAAGAGTTTGCTGTTTGTAAATATAAATATCTTGGACATCTTTTATGTAAACTCAGATTCTCCCTCTGAAGAAATGAAACCAACAGCATTTCCAAAAAAATCCACCTTTATTCATTCTTTGATTTTTTCTCTCTCCTAGAGGTTTATTGAAAACCCCCTAAATGTTGCATATACTGTTGGCTTTGTTTGAGGAATCTCATGGGTGAAAACAGCAGTTAAATAAATGAGAAAGGAAATTGTCCATTTGTTATATTTATATGTATCTCATTTCATTTGCTAAATGAAAATATATTACTGATTTATTAAAGATAAACTTCCATAAGGACAAGATATTTACTACGTGTATTTTTTCACCCACCTAGAATTTTTTGTCAAAATTTTGTGAAATTCATATTCTTCCTTTTTTAAAACTTAATTACTTGATTTATTATTTTTCAGTCAATAAAAGGTGAATGCCGTATCGGGGCCAGGTGCTGTTCTAGGTGATTGGAATGCTTCAGTAAAGAGGATAAAGCTTCATATTTAGCTTATATCCAACAGCGGAAAGGAAATAATAAGCAAGTAAACACATAAATGAATAAGATAATGATAAGTGCTATACAGAAACTAAAGTGTAGGGTACTGTGCTAGAAAATAAAAGCAGTATCAACAGGAGGCAAAATTAGATTAAATGATTAGAGAATTTAAATTAGGCATTCTTGCCAGGTATAATTGTTACTTTCTCTAACAGAACAAAATAGATGCTCTTTCTAAGATTAAATGATTAGAGAATTTAAAATTAGGCATTTTTCACAGGTCATAATTGTTACTTTCTAACAGAACAAACAGATGCTCTTTCTAAGACTGAATGCATTTTTTATCTTCTTGGTATCTATCTTTTCCAAGATTTATTTTTCATTGTAATATGAATTATAATTTTAGCACAAAGGAAAAATATAAAAATGATAATTTACTATTCAATTTATTGTTACATGTATTCCACTAGTTCAATACTTGTTTTTATACTGTATACCTTAATTCTACTCAAACACAGATATTTAAGTAGAAGAAATGTTAAAATAACTTTTCATATCATTTCATATTTTTAAAGTACTTAAAAGAATTCAAAGCATTTTTACCTGGATTTGAAAGTTATTAATGCTTGCAGCTTTAACAGAAAAACTGTAGTATCAATAGATGCCATAATTAAACTGGGGACTTGAGGTCACTGTTTTACATAACACAGAGCCTTTTTTTACCAAGCTTTTTTTCAAAATAGACATACAGGGATAATGTGGGTTGAAAAGGGTGATAATTTTGCTGCTTCTTTTGTTGTAGCATTGATGAACTAAGATTCAATTCATCTACTTCAAGTCATAAGTCATACTGCAAGTAAAACAATGCAAACATAAGATTTCTATGTACAGTTCTTCCCAACTGTTATTCCTTTATTTATTTATTTATTTATTTTGAGACAGAGTCTTACTCTGCCCAGGTTGGAGCACAGTGGTGTGATCACAACTCACTGCAAACTCCTCCCCCTGCACACAAGTGATCTTCCCTCCTCAGCCTCTCGAGTGGCTAGGATCACAGGTGTGTGCCACCATGCTCAGCTAATTTTTTTTTTTTTTTTTTTTTTTTTGTAGTGACAGCCTTTTACCATGTTGCCCCAGCTGGTTGCAAACTCCTGGGCTCAAGTGATCCACCTGCCTCAGCCTCACAAAGTGCTGTGATTATAGTCCCCAACAGTGATTTTTATAATTTTACATAAAGTATGGGCCCAAGAGTACAAAATTAGACCTCTTTTATAATTAGATGCAAGTTTGGCAAAACATTTTGTCCTCTAGATGTGTCTTTTTAATTTTAGACTATACCACCTTATTTTATGATAATAAAATCAATGACAGCAATAATAGTGAACATTTAATGAGTACTTACTGTGTATCAGTATTGCTCACCTTATGTTCATTGTCCCGTACAATCCACTCAACAACTCCCTGAGGTCAGCATTATTATTAGCTCCATTTTATAAATTGGAAATTGAAACTCAGACAGGTGAAGTCATTTCTTAAAGTCACATAGCTAGTAGGTGATACCACTTGTCAAGAACTGTGAAAGTGCTGAGATTTTATTATGTTTGCAAGCTAAAACATTAGCCTGCTACACTTTCTTGGATGTTGGCAGAAGACATGAAACTTCTGAGACAAAATACAGTTTGTTACTAAG